AGGGGAGGAAGAGAGATGTTGTTGACTGGGAATGCGTTCTAAGGCAAACTTGCCTGCTTTGCACTGGAGAGCGCAGAGCAAAGCTCTTGTATTCCTCCAAATGTTGTGATGTGATATGGAAGGGAAGGGAAGGGAAGGGAAGGGAAGGGGGTAAATGGATGAGGAAGGGAAGAAAAAGGAAGGGGAGGAAGAGAAAGAGAAGGAGGAGGAGGAGGAGGAGGAGGAGGAGAAGAAGATGAAGATGAAGGAGGAGGAGGAAGAAAGGGAGGGAAGAAAGGAGAGGAGGAGGAGGAGGAGGAGAAAAGAAGAAGAGGAAGAGGAAGAAGAAAGGGAGAGAAGAAAGGAAAGCATACCTGGAAAATGGCTTATGAAAGCACATGGGTGAGGAAAAGCACTTGCACAATTGCAAACATGATTTTTCTTCAAAAAAAAGAAAAGAAAGAAATGGTGCGCTAGGGCAGGGTGGCCAATCCATGCCCTGTGAGCCACGACCTGCTCTCTTCCCTGCACCTTCCTGTGGTGGCACTCGTATTCTACAGCAGGAGTCCTCAACCATTTTGTCCCCCCTTCACTTCCCCCAAAGCTAGAAAGTTAAGACCAAAGTAACAATCATGGCAATAATAAGGCAGACCCCTTCTGTACATATCCCAGCTTCACGGGTGTTTAGTTGATTGGCGGATGGGCTGCAGACCCTGATATGTCCAACCCTGTCCAGTTCTGGGTCAATGGGATAAGCAAAAGGTTTGCGCTTAAGGTAAAAAACGGAATGAAACCGAATAACATGGATTTATGCATTTCTAACCACACAGGAGAACGGTATGTGTCAAAAGGCAGTCTGAAAGCATCGGATTAACCAAGGCATCCAGAAAACACAACAAAAGTTGTTGTTAGCCACGCCTGCTTGAGGGTTTTTGATAAAAGTAGCCACTGCTTGCTCACAGGAAACTCAGAATTAGAATTAGGAAAAACTAAGACAGATGTGCATGATCCACGCTCAGGTGGAACCAAAATGGGGCAGGAAACACTGAATTATACTAACAGGATTCTCAGAAGAGGTGTGTGTGTGTGTGTGTGTGTGTGTGTGTGTGTGTGAGAAAACAAACAGAATTCATTTTTTAAGCCTCCAAAGGGCCCAGAACAGGAACACGGAAAGTACAACCTGCCAGTATCTTTTCTGCTGCCTTCAAGCCAAAAATGGGTGGGTCCAAAAATGTGGACCCTTTTCTTTCAGTGTGGTCCTCTTGCTTGTAAATGCATAAAATCCAGGTCATTCCATTTCATTCCGTTTTTCACCTTAAGCGCAAACCTTATGCTTATCCCATTGACCCAGAACTGGACAACGTCTGATGGATCATAGTCTGCAGTCCATCTTCCCAACCAACACCAGGACTGTACTGAATAATCTCGCAATAGTGGAGTCTCCGGAGACCAGGTGTCTTGTAACAAAACGAAATCATATTTATGAATCAAGTCTAAGAAATATGGAACATCTTCTTTGGATTTCCAACCAGCAATGTTCTCAGAAATCAAGGACTTATTCTGGCCTTTGCTCAGTCAGTCTTATCTTCAAAGATTATGAAGTTGGGTTGGAGTTGAGTCAGCTGTACCCAAACACCTAGAAGAAGCTACCTAGTGAAGCTGGGACATTTTTGGTCTTATTTTTTGGCCTTTGGGCCAAAAAGGTGAGGGTGAAACTAGGGAGCTCCTCTTTCCATCCTTTAAACCATCCCCAATCCCCCAAATTCTACTGCCAATGTTCCAACATTTGGACACAATATGGCAACTTGTTCTTAGGAAGCTTTCTTTTGGAAGTTGAGGAGGAATATCGAGGGACCAAAAGGATGCTTTAAGCCTCACCAATGCCCAAGACACCCATTTCATTCTTGAAATCCACTCCTCAAATGGCCCCTGTCCCACCCAGTTTGGGATTCGACCACACTGCCATTTAACGCCTGAGGTGCCCCTTAGCTGATGGAATTATTTTATTAAGTCTTCAAAGCCTCTCCGGGATTTAATTTTTAAATAAGGGACATGGGGGTGGTAATGGGAAGAAGGAAGAGCCTTGAGGAACAGGAGGAAGAGCCGCAACCAAGACAACGGTCAGATAAAAGAAATCTGAGTCCGGGCCAGATTTACAACCCAAATAAGCGTCTCAGACGTGATGCTCCCTAATTCTCACGAAGATAAAGGGAGGGAGTGCATTCAGATTCTGTTACTATAACCTTATAATAAAAGCAGTATTAGCATGCATGACTTTGATTTCCTAGTCTGGTGTACCTTGAAGGGCTGACATGGGGACCCAAATTCCAGGCTACCATCAGGAGCAACATCACTGCAATGCCACCACCCTGATGAAGAGTCACTTATTCCTTGGGATCCCAATTCCTAAGCAAGCCCTTCTATGATTTTGCAGAGGAGTTTGGGTCACCAAGTCCCCACTGCCTGGCTAAAGTCCAGATTTCACACCAGCCTTTTTCTGAGCTGTTGATGGGAGGAGGAGAAGGCCTAAAGGTCATTGACCAGTATCTGATTCCCTGTGATAAGTGGAGGACAAGAACCTTACGCTAGGATTTGCCAACCAATCTATTTGTTAATGTTTGTCTGTGGCTGCATAATGCAGCAGTTTCCATGTCTGGTCAGATCAGTGCTTAAAGTCCTTCTCCAAAGCAATGAATCCATTGCTCCTTGGAGGGCCTTTCTCCTTTCCCCAGGTATTATGTATCCTTGCTACAGAGACATTTCCAGCCTGATGTTAGTGGGTCAGCCTTTTCCCAGCTGGGGCTCTCCTAGATTCACTGAGGAGCAAAAACATCCTTCCAGCAAGAAAGAATGCACAGGAGAGTTCCATAGCTTTAGCTGCAACACCCTTTTAACATTCTAAATGGGAATGCGCTCCCTCCCTTTATCTTTGTGAGAATTAGAATTTTTAGAATTAAAAGCAGCCTCAAACCATTCAAAACTAAAGTATAACTCAGATCAGGTACCGTGAAAATGCTCTGCAGTTTTCCTTCTCAGGGCCTCCACTGTTTCCTCTGAATCAGCCCATTCCAGCACCAGTCTCCTGCCGTACAGATGGGTACTATGGCACAGGGCATTGAACGCTCTCTGTAGGGTGGGAAAAACAACAATGAGTTATCTTCAGAAAGTAACTGAAGACACTTATTTTGATCCAACCTTTGGTTTTGCTAGCTTAGTGTCCCCTTCCAACTGATTAGCACCAGCCTCCAGCATTTCAAGAAGGGATCTTCTGCAACTCCACCTGGAGATATCATGTGTTGAAACTTGGACCTCCTGCACACAAAGTTGGTCGTCTAGCACTAAGTTCTTTTACAGTATTATTCAGGGACTCACGGTTTTGATCAAAGCACTGCTAAATAAAAATATGACCCCAAAACAGAGGAAGCCACCCTCTGCTCAGTCAGGTCAAAGTTCCATTTAGGGAATATGCTGGGTAGCATCTGATCACTGGACCTGTCAGGAGATATTGGGATTGAAGCTGGGGTTGTGTGTGCAAAACAGATGTTCCACCACGGAGCTACAGTTCCAACGTTCAGAGAAAGGAATGGGATTGAGTTCCAAGCCACACAGAACACTGCAGCTAGTTTTTATTTATTTACAATAGATGCAAAAGAGAAAGGACCATGTACGAAGATGCTCCAAGCGTCCTAAGCATTGTTTGTTCCAAATGACAGAATGGAAACGACCTTCAAGGAGTGGCATTTTCTCCCAGGAACTGCAATGAACCCATGACAAATTTTGCATTTGCACAACACACTTGACCTGATCACTGAATTAACTAATTTTTCTATGTTTGCTCAATTTTGTTGTTTAGTCGTTAAGTCGTGTCCGACTCTTCGTGACCCCATGAACCATATTG